CTTTAATTTCTCCTTTCTTATGTTTTGAGAACTTTTGATCTTTGTTCTCCTGTTCTCACACTGCTCATCCTGTTTTTCTCAAGCTTCTACCTTATTTTGGAACAGTGACGCCTTCTACGGTCCACTTATCTCCTTAGTATTTCTCCTTATTATGACTACACAATTACCTTGGAATACAGAAAAATAATTCTCTACTGCAAAAATAGACCTTTGTTTCTCACAGTTCCCCCCTCTTCTTTTCTTACTCCTATTGTTGTTTTTGCACTTCTTCACATACCGCACTCTGAAGTTTTTCCAACATTAAGGTGCAGTATTTTTTTTCGCATGTCACAGGGCATGATAGATATACAATGCCATTATTTTACAATTCCAACAAATAGTTGTTGGAGCCAATTCCATGCAGCCAATAACAAAATTAGTTTCTCCCAAATATCTCTAAATCCCCAGGAAGTGTCATCTTGAGTTACTCTATGTAGGATCTTGTGGTTTTTTGTTTGTTTGTTTGTTTGCTTCTTTTGGTTTCGTTTTGGTTTTCCCAAATAATTTTTTAGATCAGTGAAATTCTTCCCATTTGATCTACATATATACAGAAACTAGTATTAATTACAGGGCATGTTCCTCTTATGAGGTTATTCATAAATCTAATATTATTTGATTCTAGAGTACTATTTTTGCAAACTTTATCTTATTTTCTAGATCTTCAATATTTTTACAATATTTTTGTGTTTTGAGATGTTTACAATAGCTTTTTCTAATTCACTCACCCTTAACCAAGGTAAAAAACACCTTGCAAAACTGTAAAATGCTAGAGAGTTTTACTAAAGGATTATCTGGAGTCCACTTAACTCGGCGTGTGGTCTCAAGGGGGCTTTGGCTTTGTGGGTCTTCAATAATAGTTACGTTTGGAATTATTGCCTCCAGGGTGCAAGCTCCCTTCCATCCTAGGGACAACACCTTCCTAGCTTTATTGCCATATAGCCAATACCACCCCTTGCCATTCAGGACAAGCCATCTGCTTACAGGATTCTCATGTTGCATCTGGTGTACATTATGCATATTAGCATTCCCGTGGTTACCATAGTTGGTACAGTATGGATGATTCCCTACTTCGTGGATATTTCCACACACAGGGTCAGTACTATTGCCCCCTGAGTTTCTATCAATATTGTTTAAAAGGCACCTTTGGTAACACAGTATATTGTAGCCAGGGTTACATGTAGGGAACTCAACTTCAAAATCTATTCCTTCCCGGGACTGTGTATGATCTGTCCTTTCTAGAAATCTAGAGATTCCAGACACAGTTGCTGCTGGAAATAGTAATCAGGGACAAGGCCTTTCCAGTCTTTCTAGGCATCTGGGTGCAAATCCAACAATTATTTCAAGATGGAACTCAAGAGATGTTCTGGATTAATTGGGAATGCTGATTTTTCCCTCCATACTATCACTAATCCGTTGAGAATAGCTATTACTAAGATAAACTCAAAATACATCATTACTATGTATATATACACACCCCTAAAATAATAAAGAAATAATAAGTAAGAAAAACCATAGAAATCACATACTAATAAGGATTCTTCTGGTGGGGATTAAATACCCTTCTTTCTCCTACTTCCAGGGAGTGTTCCCTGGAAACACTCCAATTCTGTGTAATTCAATCCCTCTTACTCATTAATTCATTACAAATTCTTCTAAGGAGAAGTTAAAGATTTACAATTAATAGTTTCAACAGTTTTAACCTGGAAAGTCTTTGTTAATGCAGTCTCTCTGGTATCAGAGTTAACTGATGCTTTTACCCAGATATGAGTCCACCCTTTCTCAGCTGTTCTTACTGTCATTTCAATAGTCAGGAGCACTTGGAACAGTCCATCCCACTCAGGTTGCAGTTTCAATTCTCCCCATATTTGCATCAGAACCCAAGCTCCTTCTCAAAATTGTTGGATCAGAGCTTCCAAGGGTGGGGTTTGAGCTAACAGTACACGGCTCCTTGGAGATGAAAAGAGGATGACAGCCCGAGTACATAGTTCTTAAGAAACGCATCTTTTGTCTCAAATTGAGGTAATTCGTTCCCTTTGTCCATGTACAGCAATCCAAATAATATTTCATATGGTGAAACTCCCACATCTTTTCTTGGTGCAGTTTGAATTCGGAGAAGTGCCAAAGGCAAGCACTTTTTTGGGGGAAGCTGAGTTTCCAGGACTTAGTCAATTGCTTCTTTACTGTCTAATCCGCTCCACCCTTCCAGAAGAAGAAGGATGCCAAGGAGTGTGAAGTTTTCTGTTAATTCCTACAGTCCACGTTAGCCCTTGCAATATTTCTGACATAAAGTGATTTCCTTGATCAGAGTCAATATTTTCAACAATTCCATATCTGGGAGTTATTTGTTCCAGAATTACTTTAGTTACTATGTTCGCACTAGCAGATACTGAAGGGATAGCTTCCACACACCCTGACAAATGATCTACCAAGACTAGTAAGTATATAAATTTACCTGCTCTAGGAGTTCTGTAAAATCCTCCTGTACACTTTGGAAGCATTGAATTCCTGGTTCTTGCCCTCTTCAGGCTGACTGTTTTAAAGTCCTATTTCCCTTTTGACATACTACGCAACTCCTGCGTACTTGTTCAGCCAGAATATATATATTCCTATGTGTACTTCTTTCCATAGCACAGCATCACACATTGCTTGAATTCCCCAATGACATTCTTGATATAAAACAGTTAATACTCGCCTCAATAGCACTTTATTCAGCATTTCACTCCCATCAGGGAGTATCTGTTTTCCTTTGGACTTCGTGACTCCTAATTCCTTAAAAACCTCTTTCTCTTAAAACGGTTTAGTTAGGGGTAGCTCAACAATTCCCTGTATCCTCTCTGGATTTATTTTTCATTCCCCCTCAGACACTAGATGCCCTAAATATTTGACTTCTCTTTCTACAAATTTTAATTTATTTTCCAATACTTTCAAGCCCTGTTTTCCCAGAAAGTTGAATAGCTTGTTAGTGGCTTCCTTCACAACTGTTTTCTCCTGTCCTGACAATAAAAGATCATCCACATAACACCTTCTCCTGCACATCCTCCCTCTCCGTCTCCTGTTTCCCCAGTGGTTTCCCATGGGACACAGGGGACGCAGGATGCACCAACTCACACACAGCTCGCTTTTTGTCACTCACTGACCCTAAATTTACGATGCCAAAATCTCACCTCCTCTCTGTGCCCTTCTCCATTGCCCAGCCCAGCTCAATGTGGTGGGACCAGGCCACCCTGTCACTGCCACCATGGGGCAGGATGTCGTGCTGCCCTGCCACTTGTCCCCTCAACGCGATGCTCGCACCTTGGAGGTAAGGTGGATCCGGGACAGGTTCTCTGAGACAGTGCACCACTACCGCAATGGACAGGACCTGTACAGGGAGCAGATGGGGGCATATGCCGGGAGGACAGAGTTGGCCAGAGATGGTCTCTCTGTTGGAAGACTGGACTTGCGAATCACGGGGCTGAGACCCTCTGATGATGGCCTGCACGTCTGCACTGTGGGAGATGCTGATGCTTATGACGAAGCCATTGTGGAGCTGGAGGTGTCAGGTTAGTGGCTGGGGTGGTGCTGCCAGGGCAGAGTTTACGTGTCCTTTGAATGTTCCAGCTGTTTCACAGCATGGAGCATGCCCATGGATGTGGAGGTAATATTTGGGGAGAGAGCTCCCTGGAGAGTTTTGTCAGTTTTCACTGGTGTCCTTGAAGACAATAATAATATTGTGAGGGCACTGGGCACAGGCTGCTGAGCAGCACCTTCAGCTGTGTCAGCAATGGGACCAAAGAGCACACAGGGAGAGTCGCAGAGTCCTCTGAGCAGCCGGACATCTGCTTTACTTTTGCTTTCTATGCTGGGGGAGACCTGAGACATTGTCTGCAAGTCTCGGGGCTTCTTGAACCATCACGGCTTGGTGCAGATATGCTGCCTGGAGGTGCTGAAGCTCAGCACTTGGTTTTTCTGGGCAATTTCAAGCTACTGGAATTGTGCAGCCTTGCTCTCTGGGTCCGGTATATAGGAGGGTGTTTTTGGGTTGAGGGTGAGTGCATGGACTGCCTGTAACTTGAGCCCCAGGAGACGTAGCTGTGAAGGGCTGTATCTGGCATGGGAGCAGATGGGGTCTTTGCCTTGAAAGGAATCCCTCCCCAAGTCAAGCCCCAGACACGTGCTCTTTCCCCCAGCCACAGGTGCTGACCCCCACCTCTCCCTGGGGGGCTACGAGGCCGGAGGCGTCCGGGTGCTGTGTCGATCGGCCGGCTGGTACCCGCTGCCACAGCTGCTGTGGAGGGATGCTCGCGGGCAGCACCTGTCCTCGGTCTCCCAGACACATTCCCAGGACCAGGAGGGGTTCTTTGAAATCGAAGGTGCCGTCATCGTGACCGGAAGTGTGGAGGGGCCCTTGTCCTGCGTGGTCAGGAGCAGCCGCCTCCAGGAGGAAAAGGAATCATCCCTGCACATTGCAGGTACAAATGGCACAGCCAGGGTGAGGTGTTCCTGGCCCCTGCACTTGTCCTGAGCCGGCAGAAGTCTGGGTCTTGCTCTTCCACCTGCTGGCATGGAAACGCAGCCCTTTACCTGGTGCCTTTTCTCAGCTCCCTTCTTCCACAACGCCCAGCCCTGGATGGTGGCTCTGGCTCTGGTCCTCGTGCTTTTGGCTGTGTCCATTGGCCTCAGTGTTTATCTCTTTCGAAAGCAAGGTAAGCTGGCAGTGCAGGGATGGAGCAGAGGGAGGTGTTCTGCAGGGACCCCCTGGGTGTGGAGCGGGGCTGAGCCCTGGCCCAGGGAGGTGCGTAGGAGGAGGACGGGAATGTTCTCCTGGGGATGCCAAAGGCCTTAGGATCGTCTTGGGTGGGAGGCCAGGGAGCATGGCTGCAGCGTGGGGCTGGTGAAAAGGCGCAGCCCCCCTGCACATGTTCCCACCCAGCAACCAAGCTGCTCTGCTCACCACCTCTTCCTCTGCCTTTGCTTTTCAGCGGCACAGAGCCGAGAGCTGGGAGAGTCCTTGCAGTCCCTGCCCCCAGACCCTGGGGAAGTGTTGTCCCTGCGGGAGGGCCAGGGCCTGGTCTGGGTGGGATCTGGGGGCTTGTGTGCTGGTGGCTCGGGGGTGCTGGAGGAGCAGCTGGAGCCTGGGGTGGGAGTGGGGAGTTCTGGGGCTGCCCTGGGCACGGGACACGGCCGGGATGACTGAAAGGAACGGGGATCGAGGTGGGGACGGGGAGCGAGCTGCGGGGCTGCCCCGCTCTGCACTGACGCTTCTGGGACAGGGACGTCCTCCACCCATCCCCAATCACTTCCACTTGTGTTTTGGTGGCACGGTGTAGAGCGATGCACAAGTGTCTGTCCTTACTGCTACAAGTCTTACAAAATGCTGGCCCTAGGTCTTTCTTAGTGGGGTCGCTACAAGTCTAGGAGCAGGGTGGTCTGTGCACATGCATGAGAGCAAAAACTTTGGGGTCTAGCCATCTAGCCATGGAAGCAGCATTGGATTGAAAGTCTCTCCACTCTGACCATTCATTCCTTTTGCTTTTCTATAGCAGCGAAAAAGGATGCAGAGCTGGGTAAGTCTCCTTCCCCAAAGAGAAGGCATTTGGTGTCTTCCCACAAGCATACTCCCCTCTGACCTTACCTTGCTTTTGATTTTCTTTTTCTTTTCCAGGGAAACAAGCTGCAGAGATAGGTGAGTGTCTATACCTGAACTGGAAGAATTTGAAGTGTAGACAGTGGGTGAGAATTTTTTTCCCTCTGATCATGCATTCCTTATGCTTTTCTTTTCAAGAGGAAAAAGATGCAAGACTGGGTGAGTCTCTTCCTCCCCCCAACTGAAGGAATTGGGGGTCTTTGGTTTGTAGCAGTTATTGTTGAGAAACTGACTCTTCTCATCAATGCATTGCTTTTCTATTTTGTTTGTAGATGAACAAGCTGCAGAGCTCGGTAAGTCTCACTCTCCAAACAGAAAAAAAAAAAAAAAAAAAAAAAACAACGAAAAAAAAGGCATCATAGTGAGAGGTATGGAATCAGAAACTGTGCCTCCTTCTCATGTTTTCCTTTTCCCTTTCATTTGTAGAGAAACAAGCTGCAGAGCTGGGTAAGTCTCCTGGTGTTCAGACCCAAGGGCAACACCAAGGCGATGTGCAGGGGAGGGTGGGCAGCTGGGACAGAGCAGCCCAGGGCTGGCCCCTCACCCTGCCCACACCCACTGGGCACCAGCCGTGGGCTGTGACCAGCTCTCCCCTCTCCTTCCAGCATGGAGAAAGTCTGTCCTGCCTCATAATAGAGGTAGGTGTGCATTGGGTTGCTCTCTGCGGTGCTTCTCCTGCCCCTGGTGGGGCATGTTCAGGAGCCAAGAGGTGCCCCATCTCCTGCCCCGTGGGGCAGCTCCTGGCCCCAAGCTGGGGAAAGCCTGCCCAGGGCTGAGCTCTGCCCCTGATGGCCTGGCTCCTTCTGTCCCTGCAGTGAAGGTGACCCTGGATCCACGCACGGCTCATCCCTGGCTTGTTGTGTCTCAGGACAACAGCAGTGTGAGATGGGAAAGTGAATGGGAGCAGGTTCCTGACACACCAGAGAGATTTGACGTTCGGATGTGCGTGCTGGGCTGTGAGGAGTTCAGAGAGGGGAGGCACTGCTGGTTGGTGGAGGTGGAGGGAGAGTGGCTAAAGTATTCTTGGTGGGCTGTGGGGGTGGCCAGGGCTTCTCTGAAGAGAAAAGGGAAGATCAAAATGAGCCCTACAGCAGGGATCTGGGCTGTGCTGTACTATGAGGGGCACCTCAAGTCTCTCACATCTCCTCGCACTCCCTTGTCCCTGTCCCCTGTCCCCACGAGGATCTGGGTCTGTCTGGACTGTACCCAGGGGCAGGTGTCTTTTATCAACGCTGACAATGGGGTCCAGATCTTCACTTTCACAGCAGCCTCCTTCAATGGGGAGAGCATCCGCCCCTGGTTCTTGGTGGAGACACTGAGAATTCAGATGTGTCTGCGGGACAGCACCCCCCAGACCCTGTCCCCAGCCCTGGGGGGCTCCGGCCCTTCTCCAGACACTCCTGCATCACCTCTCCTTGGTCCTGCAGGAGCAGCACAGGAATGAGGTGCACTGGGGCCAGGGGCTGCTCCTTTATTCCTCTTTGCTGCTGGAGGAGGACTGGGATGCTGCAAGCAGGGGCCAGGCCCCTTGCAGCCCCTGGGTTCTGCCCTGCACACAGCTCCTGTGCTGGGGCACAAGCCCTGATGGCACCCACGGGTCTCACCCTGCCTCTGAGCCCCAGCAGGCAACACAGGGGCTGCAGCAGCACTCCACACTCCTCTCCCCTCTGCTTACAGACCCCAGGGCAAGGGATGTGGTCACTGTGTGCTGCCGGCAATTGCAGGCCACCTTTGCCTCCTAGGTTGGGGTTGATCTTTGCTCTGTGCCTGGTGCTGAGCATGAGCAGCCTGTGGGGGCTCTTTGTTCCTTCCTCTGGAGTATATGTATCCAAGGCCCAGCAGCAGCAGGACTGTGTCAAATAAAGTTTTGTACAGGAAGATGGAGTCTGGCAGTGGCATTTCCTGGGTGCTTTGTGTCCTGAGGCCTTGCTGCCTGGGAAGGCATCTTGCAGCAGACCGTCTCCTCACACGCCTTGCCCTGCAGAGCCTTCGCCGTCCTCGTAGCCCTCCCTTGGAGGCTCTTGCACAGTTTCACGCCCTTCATCTGCTGCGGTGACCACAGATGCACACAGTGCTCGAGGCGAGGCCGCAGCAGGCCGAGCAGAGTGGGATGATCCCTTCCCTCGGCTGGCCAGCAGTGCTGTGCCTGAGGCACCCCAGGGCACGCTTGGCCCTTTGGGGTCCCATGCCATGGCCCCCACACAACCGCTCCTCTTGGTGAGACACCGTAGGAGTGTGTGAGCCTCTGCCATGTGCCCAGAACTCTGTACAGACACCAAAGGGCCTTGTGGAGCATCTTTATTGTCAGCACCATGACATTGGGTCTGAGATGGGGCCAACCTGGAGCCGCCGATGCCAGGAGGTTTCCGTCTGGGGGTCCTCAGATGCTGCCTGGGGAAGGGTGGGACACACAGGGCGAGAGATGGGGTGATTCGCCCTTCACAGATGAGGACGGGGATGGGGACACCATTACCTGCGGGGTAGTTGTCTCCAGGGAGGTGAGTGTAACCTGCGGGGGGGAGAAGAGGAGTGAGCAGAGTCCTTGTCACCGTTGACAATGGCCCCGGCTCTCCCCGGATACTCACCCGGGGCGGGAGGCCTGGCCCTGAAGCGGTAGACGCCAGCGAGAAAGAAGCCAAGTCCCAGCACCATCAGCACGGTGGCCACCACCACCAGTATCGTCACCTCTGGCATCAGTCCAGGACCTGCGGGGACACGGCCGGGTGAGGGGCAGCAAGGAGCCAAGGCCGCCGGCCTCCGGGTGCGGTCCTGCGCCTCTCCACTCACTCCAGTCCTCCAGGAGAGGCTCCTGCAGGCTGATGTGCTGCACCGAGCACGTGTAGGTGTTGCCTGCCACCGGGGCCACCAGCAGGGACACCTGCGTCTGGTAGCTCCAGTCGCCATTGGAGATGGCGGAGATGGGGTTGTAGTCGTCGGGCTCCACGATGTCCCCGTTGTGCAGCCAGATGACGGTCACCTCGGGGGGGTAGAAGCCCCAGATGTGGCAGGTGAGGCGCACGGGCACACAGGCGTTCCCCGTCTCCGCGGGGATGATGCGGACTAGGGGCTGCGCTGGAGCAGGGATGGGGATGGGGTCAGTGGTGGGCGAGCCCCTTTTCCCTGCCCTGTGCAATGTCCCCACGCAATGTTCCTTGCAACGCTCCCGTGCAACGCCCTGTGCAAAGCTCCACACAACTTCCCCATGCCACTTCCCCATTCGATGCCTTGTGCAAGCTCTAGGCATTGTCCCATGCGATGTCAAATGCAACATCCCCATGCGATGCTCACAGGATGCCCTGTGCAACGCCCCTGTGCCACACCCTGCAAGAGGCATTGCTCTGTGCAACATCCCCTTGCAAAGGGCAATGCAATGCGCTTTGCAGTGCTCTGTGCAACATACCCCTGCGACATCCTCACGCAGTGTGCTCTTCAACACCCCCATGCAATGCCCAGTGCAACATCTTGCCGAGGCAATCAGCTCCATGGCAGACTCTTTCTGCAGCGGAGCAGGGGATCCCACAGGCAGGGCTACGTTTTTCTGGCATCAAACCCACTTGAGGGAGCCGCCAGGACCCAGGAGCACTTGCAAGGGGAGGCTGACAAAGTGTAGGCTGAGCCAGCAAGGCCCCATGCCTGGCCACTCAAAAGCTGCCCATGGGAAGCAAGACGACAAGTAATGCAGCGACCAGGATGGGCAAACAGGGCATGGCTCATCGGAAGGGAGTGGCAGGCATTTCATGCAGGCAGGGCGAGCAGGGAGGGCAGAGCGTTCCCCCCCCTCCCATACAAACAACTCCTCTAACGGCGGTCTACCGCTAGCAAGGCTGCAATGGTCTCCACCAGGCACAGTGCTCTCTCTAGCAAGTCTGTGCACACCCAGACTGACTGCCCGCTCAAAAATGCACCAGTTCAGGTCTCTGCGTGCAGGGAGCATCTGAGCCTCTTGCTGCCATCTGTAGGAGGCAGAGAGACTGTGTGTGCGTGAGGTGCGATCAGGTGGATGACCTGGTCCACCTGGTGGCAGAGCTCAAGGAGGAGGTGGAGAGGTTGAGGGCTATCAGGAGAGGTTGAGGGCTATCAGGGAGTGTGAGTGGGAGATAGAGTGGTGGGCAAGTCCCTGCGGGGCCTGAAGGAGAGGTACCGGGGTGAGACACCCCAAATGGGGGTGGACCCCCTACCCTGTCACTGTTGGACAGAGGGAGGGGACCTAGGATTTGAGGAGGAATGGAGACAGGCCCCTGCTCAAAATCCCATGCGATGCCACCCCATACAAGCCCCTGCTTCCCAGGTGCCGTTAAACAACAGTTTTGAGGCCCTGGAGCTTGAGAGACTGGTAGCTGAGGAAGAGGTAGAAAGTGTAGCCAGGAGGATGCCTAGGGTGAGGAAGTCGACTCCAAGCCTCAGGACTGCTATCCTCTTTTGATAGTCCAGGCTGGCAGTGATGACATTGAAGAGAGAAGCCTGAAGGCTCTCAAGCGGGACGTTAGGGGACTGGGGCAGTTAGTGGATGGAGCGGGAGTACAGGTGGAGCAAATCTCCACACTGCAGCCCATGGAGAAGCCCCTGGTGCAGGAGGTGGATGGGGCCTGGAGGAAGCTGTGGCCCATGGAGAGCCCCCGCAGGTGCAGCCCCAGGCCGGAACCACAGCCTGTGGAGAGGAGACCACACAGGAGATGGGACTCTGAGGGGAGCTGTCATGCATGCACAACCCAGACTGGAACAGTTTGCTCCTGACAGATGTACCTCATACTACAGACCCACACTGGGGCAGTTGCTGGAGAGCTGCTGCCTGTGTGAAGCCCATATAGGATCAGTGTGGGAAGGACGGCATCCCATGGGAGAAGTTGTTGACTCGGATGAGGGTGGAAAGCCCTTGCAGGGAGATCTGGACAGACTGGAGAGATGGGCAATCTCCAACTGCATGAAGTTTAAGAAAGGTAAGTGCCAGGTCCTGCACCTGGGACGAGGCAACACTGGCTATACGTGCAGACTGGGTGACGAGATGTTGGAGAACAGCCCTGCAGAGAGGGATCTGGGGGTTATGGTTGACAGCAAGATGAACATGAGCCAGCAGTGTGCCCTAGCAGCCAGGAGGGCCAACTGTATCCTGGGGTGCATCGAGCACGGCATTGCTAGTTGGTCGAGGAAGGTGATTGTCCCACTCTACTCTGCACTCTGCGGCCTCACCTCAAGTACTCTGTGCAGTTCTGGGCACCACAGTACAAAAAGGACATGAAACTATTGGAGAGTGTCCAAAGAAGGGCCACAGAGATGGTGAAGGGCCTTGAGGGGAAGACATATGCCTTCTGCCAGATCTCTTAGTACTCTGGGATGAATCCCATCAGGCCCTATAGTCTTGTATGCATTCATCTGGAGCAGCAAAACCCACACAAATTCGGGGTTGTTGGGACTTTATTGTTCCTACAGTCACTGTCCTCCAGCTCAGGGCACCTGGAGTCCCACAGCCCAGCATCAGTGTTGAAGGCAAAGAAAGCATTAAACATCTCTGTGAATGACCCTGCATGACCATCCCCATCAAGTAACAGACCAATGCTTTCTCTCAACCTACTTTTGCTGTTAAGATAGTTTAAGAAAAAAAAAAAAAAAAAAAAAAAAAAGAAAAAGCATTTTATTGCCCCTCACAATACTGTCCAGGTTCAACTCAAATTGAGCTTTGGTCATATGAATTTTCTCCCTACAAAAGCAAACAGTACCACTGTAGTCCTTCCATATTGACTGACCTCGCCTCTAGCAAACAGGAACTTTCCTTATCCTCCTAAGCTCTAGAAGAAGGTCCCTGCCCATCTGAGCCAACCTTCTGCCACGGCTGCTTTACTGGAGCCGGGAGCAGCACTGGCATTTTGCCTTCAGCACCCTGGGAAAAGTGTGGAAGCTCTGGGCTTGACACCCAGCTGTGCCCCATTCCCTGCAGCCTCTGATCCTGCTCAGCTCTTCACTGCCATCTCTCCACATTTTCCCATTGCTCACAGTTTGATTCCTCCTTACATGCATGGAGATGAACGAACATAGCCAGTGGCTTTTCCTGGAGGTCTGGAGAGGCCCCTGCTGGCGACATGCCTCTCGTGCCTGCTAAAGGCAGTGGACTGGGCACCCAGCTGCAATGGGATGGTGGTGCCCGCCCTGCAGAGCTCCCCAGACGTTCCCCTAGGGGCAGAGCTGCTCCAGGAGGGTTATTGCAGCCAGGAACTGGGCAAAGGTTGGGAAAGTTGGGCATAGCCTTGTGCTTTCTGCAGCTCTGCTGGGTGCCGTGAGGGACGTCTACCTGGCCTTGGAGAAAAACCCCTGGGGGGCCACCTGTCCCCTGGGGGACCCCTCTCTCACATGGTGCTACCCTGGGGCTGCAGCCACCCCAGCTTCACCGGCCGCACCAGGGGCCCCCTGACTTTCCACAATATATAGGGGTGGCTAGCCAGGGGGGGAGCAGACTGCTCGGTGTTAGGCAGGACATCAATCAGTGGGTGGTGAGCATTGTGCTCACTTGTTTCGTACACACTGTTAGTAGTAGTACTATTATTATTCTTGTTGTTGTTATTATTATTTTCCTGTCTTAATAAACTGCCTTTATCTCAATCCACAGGCTTCACTTCACGGTTCTCTCCGTGATCCCAGAGAAGGAGGGTGGAGGACGAACAAACGGCTGTGTGGTGTTTAGCTGCCGAATGGGTTAAACCACAACATCTCCAAAAAGGCAGACCTCTTCCAAATGTTCATTTCCATCCTCCCATCCCTTAGCTCCTCCACGTTGCGTCTGTACAATGTAGCCTGGTGGTTGTGGGCAGGGGTCTTTCAGGATGAAGGCAAAGAGGAAGAGGAGGTCAAACTTTTTACCTTTCTGGACTTTGACCTTCTCTTGGACA